GACGGCGCGGGCCCGGGGCTCCCGTGGGGCGCAGCCCTGGCTTCCGCTGATGCCTCTGCGCGCCGCCTGCGCCCGGCCTGCGGGTGGCCGGGTGGCCGGGTGGCCGGGTGGCCGGGTGGCCGGGTGGCCGGGTGGCAGGGCACTTCGGAGGGGACACTCGTGTGTTTGGGGTACTGGGGGTGAGCGCACAGCCTCTCCACTGACCTGCGTCCCAGGCCCTTTATTTATTATTATTGTTATTATTATTTTTAATCCTGCGGCGCCCCCCCTCCCTGTGGCTGTCGTCCTCCTGCCTCGGCCTCCGGAGTGCCGGCCTCCCCGGCGAGGGAGCCGAGGCAGTTCTCCTCCGCCGGCCTCGCCTCCCCCGGGGCAAATTCGAGCCCAGGGAGAAAGAGGAGCCGAGTCCCTCCGTCCGTCTCGGCTGCTTGGAAATGTTCTCGCGTTTCCCGAGGGCAGGAGGAGTTGGGCGGAGCGTGGAGCCCGGAGGCTGCTGCGGAGGCGCCGGGCCACCAGGCAGGGCCACCAGGCCGGGCCACCACGCAGGGCCACCACGCCGGGCCACCAGGCCGCGCCACCACGCAGGGAGCGGCTTCCCCCGGTGGTGGGCAGAGGGCAGCGTGCGCCCGCGACCGCCCTCACCCTCCTCTAGGAGAGGAAGGCAGACCCCGGCTGTGGCCAGTAATCGAGCAAGTAACTCCTTGAGACGACGCGAATGTCACCGGAGTAGGAGGGAGAAGCGCTGACGGGGGAGAGCCGAGCTGCCGCCCCGCTCCGCCCGGGCCTCGGGTGGGTCGGGGGTCCGCCCGCCCCCCGCTGTGAAGGCGGCCCAGCTGCAGGGTCTCCAGTTTCCGCGCAGTCCAGGCCTGCCTTGAAGGCAGGGAGAGCGCGGCGCCTGAGGGTTCCTTTTCCTCGTTCGTCTTCTACATGTTAGAGAGCTTGTACCGTCGGAAGTCTTCTCTCTGCTCCACTCCAGATTTAATGCCCGGCTGCCTGTGCAAATTTAATGAGTTTGGAAAGACATGTAATAGAGTTTGCTCACCGCATAGGTTACTGATTGCTTCCATATCGTAAACATCATATAAGTGGAAATATGAACAGTAAGTCAAGAGAATGTGCCTGCAGGGCCAATCTGACCCAGAGAAAGAAGGATATAATACGGTTCAAAATGTTTGCTCACATGGCAGCTTTGTGAGCCTCAGCCTGTCGTGGACTGGCAGGAGGTGACATTGCCACGCACAAGGGCCCAGTTCCTGTCAGCTGGGGAGGACTCAGACATGCGCGGAAGCTGGACATGATGGCGCACCAGCACTCTGGGAGGCTGAGTGAGAACCCAGCCTCAGAGCTGGGCGTGGTGGTGCACACCCGGCATCCCAGCAGGGAGGCTGAGGCAGGAGGATCTTGGGAGTTCCAGACCTGCCTGGGTTACAGAGTGAGCGCAAGGCCAGCCTGAGCTGCATAGTGAGACCTTGTTTCAGAAAAAGAAGAAAAGCCAGCCTCAGCGATTTAGCAAGACATTATCTAAAAACAAAACAACAGGGGACTGGGGAGATGGCTCAGTGAAATAAGCACTTCCCTGGCAAGTGCAAGGGCCTGAGTTCAATCCCTGGTTTGGTTCCGGGGAAAAAAAAAAAAAAAAAAAAACACAGCTAACAAGGTACCAAGTACAAGCAAAAAGTACAATGAATATTTTCTTAAATCTTTTTGTTTTTTTATTTGGTACAAGGTCTTGCTACACAGCTGGGACTCCTAGTGATCCTCCTATCTCAGCCTCCCCAGTGCTGAGATTACAGGCGTGCGACTCATGCCTAGTTCTTGCCACTTTCTTTTTCTTTTTTTTCTTTTCTTTCTTTTTTTTTTTTTTTTTGCAGAAATGGGGATTGAACTCAGACCCTTGCACTTGCCAGGGAAGCGCTTATTCTACTGAGCCATCTCCCGGGCCCAATTTTTTTCTTCTTTATGGAACTAGAAAATGTTCACATTGGCCATCTGGTCCTTCTTGCCTTGAAGTAAATGAAAAGTCATGTAATCCCGCAGGCAGCACTCAGGAGGCTGAGGCTGGAGGATTGCCAGGAGTGTGCGGCCAGTCTGCATGCTGAGACCACATCTCAAAAAAGTGAAAGAGCCCAGGCA